AGTAGCATTTATATTGTCAATATCTTTACTCATTATTAACATGTCATCAACATACAAACAAACAATGACTTCATGATTCAGAACGTTTTTAATGTAAACACACTTATCACATTCGTTAATCTTGAATCCATTTGTCAACATTGTTTGATCAAATTTAGCATGCCATTGTTTGGGTGCTAGCTTGAGTCCATAAAGCGACTTCACAAGTCTGCACACTTTCTCTTCTTTACCAGGAACCACAAACCCTTTAGGTTGTTCCATGTAAATTTCTTCCTCCAACTCTCCATTTAAGAAGGCTGTCTTTACATCAATTTGGTGGATTTTAAGATCATGCACTGCCGCTAGTGCTATTAACATTCTAATTGATGTTATCCTTGTTACTGGAGAGTATGTATCAAAGTAGTCCAGACCTTCTTTTTGTCTATATCCTTTGACTACAAGTCTAGCCTTATATTTGTCAATAGTCCCATCGGCTTTCATTTTCCTTTTAAAGATCCACTTTGATCCTAAAAGTTTATTTCTTGGAGGAAGATCAGCCAATTCCCAAGTATGATTACTTAAAATTGATTCGATCTCACTATTGACAGCTTCTTTCCAATAGATTGACTCAGATGACGACATAGCTGCTTTAAATGTTGGAGGCTCATTTTCAAGCAAAAATGTCACAAAATCTGGTCCGAAAGAAGTGGATTTCCGTTGGCGAGTACTACGCCTAGGATCTTCATTAGGTTGTGCATTTTCCTTTGATTCTTCCCGTGATCGTTTAGATCTTTCACTTGTCGACTCACATTCAGTTTTATACGGATAAATGTGTTCAAAGAACTCAGCGTTATCTGACTCAATTACTGTATTCACATGAATTTCAGGATTATCAGATTTGTGAACCAAAAACCGACAGACCTTACTGTTCACAGCATATCCAATAAATACACAATCCACTGTTTTTGGTCCAATTTTCACCCTCTTAGGTAAAGGAACTTCTACCTTGGCAAGACACCCCCACACTTTGAAATATTTCAAGTTGGGTTTCCTTCCTTTCCACAACTCATATGGAATTGATTGCGTTTTGCTACGGGGTACCCTATTGAGTATCTTGTTAGCCGTAAGGATGGCTTCTCCCCATAGGTTTCTTGGTGAACCAGAACTGATTATTAAGGCATTCATCATTTCCTTTAATGTTCTGTTCTTCCGTTCAGCCAATCCATTTGACTGCGGTGTATAGGGTGCAGTAGTTTGATGGATAATACCATATTCCAAACATATCTCAGCAAAAGGAGATTCGTATTCTCCACCCCTATCACTTCGAATCATTTTTATCTTTAGATTCAATTGATTTTCCACTTCATTTTTGTATTGCTTAAATGCATCAATTGCTTCATCCTTACTATTAAGCAAGTATACATAACAAAATCGAGTGCAATCGTCAATAAAAGTTATAAAATATTTTTTCCCACCACGAGATAGTGTCGACTTCATATCGCATATATCTGTGTGAATTAAGTCTAAAGGTTTTAAATTTCTTTCAACAGACTTATAAGGATGTTTAACAAACTTACTTTCCACACAAATTTCACATTTCGATTTATCGCATTTAAAATCAGGTAATACTTCTAAAGTAACCAATTTCCGCAAGGCTTTGTAATTTACATGTCCCAAACGGGCATGCCATAAATCATTTGACTCCAATAAGTAAACAGAAGCAGAATTCTTATTAATACTGTCAACAACCATTACATTCAGTTTGAAGAGGCCCTCAGTGAGATAGCCTTTTCCTAAGAACATCTCATTCTTACTTATTACAGCTTTGTCACTACCTAGGACACACTTGAACCCGTTTTTAACGAGCAGTGCAGCAGAAACTAAATTCTTCCTAATAGTAGGAACGTGCAGAACGTTGTTCAGAGTCAACACCTTGTCGGATGTCATCTTCAACATTACTTTCCCAGTTCCTGCAATCCTTGCTGTTGCTGTGTTTCCCATGAACAAATCTTCATCAACCTCAGCAGGAGTGTATGTTGCAAAGGCTTCTTTCGCAGAGCAAATATGTCGAGTGGCACCTGAGTCGAGAAACCACTCCTTAGGATTTCCAACTAAGTTGCACTCTGAGATCATTGCACACAGGTCATCTGCATCTTCCATCTCTTCCACGATGTTTGCTTGGCTTTTGCCTTTGCCTTTGTCTTTGTCTTTGTCCTTTCTTGCAGCACGACAGTCAGAAGACTTGTGACCAGCCTTACCACAATTGTAACAGTTGCCCTTGAACTTTTTCTTGGCCTGTTCTGACTTCTGTCCGTTGGACTTCTTTCTCTTCTTGTCTTTTGTAGGAGCTTCTTCAACAATATTAACTCCAATTACTGTCGAACTCTTACGAGACTTCTTTTCGGCGGTTTTGTTATCTTCCTCAATCTTGAGCCGAATCACAAGATCTTCAAGCTTCATTTCCTTACGTTTGTGCTTTAAATAATTCTTGAAGTCATTCCACGAAGGAGGTAACTTTTCGATCATTGCAGCCACTTGAAACGCTTCATTTACTACCATATCTTCAGCAATCAGATCATGGAAAATAAGTTGAAGTTCCTGCACTTGTGATCCAACAGTTTTACTATCTGACATTTTATAGTCTAAAAACTTTGCGACCACAAACTTTTTCAATCATGCATCTTCTGTCTTATATTTCTTCTCAAGTGCATCCCACAATTCTTTCGAAGTTGTCATTGCACTATAGACATTATATAAGTCATCCTCTAACGCACTCAAAATGTAGCGCTTACATAGGAAGTCTGCCTGTTTCCATGCTTCAATAATCATGAATTTTTCTCTTTCTGGCATTTCAGCAGAAGGCACTAGAGTTACTTCATTGGTAAATTTCTGCAGACCAAGAGTGTTAAGCCAGAAAAATACCCGTTGCTGCCATCCTTTGAAATTCACACCAGAGAATTTTCCCGATTTCTCTGCTGGTGGTACAGCAGTTCGGGTTGGTGCAGCAACAGCCACCGTAACATTGTCATTAACTATTTCAGAATCTGTAACAAACAGAAATTGATACAAATGACTCAGTAAGCAATAACTTAAGTTGCAAACTTAACAGGAGTATAAAACCACGAAGGTTTTTCTCTCCACTAGAAACACAGATTAAAAAGTATAAACTAATTTCCTTAAGATTGTTATCAATCTGTGTATAAAAAATCAGAATTACTGATTTCAATAAACTTTGCAGAAACACGAAGTAACCAAAGTTTAATAAACCAGTAAGAATAGATGAACAGAAATTAATTGACAAAACTAAAATCTGTAAAAAACGTACCACAATCTGGAAAAACAGAATTAGAAAAAGATCAATCCCACTGAATGCACAGTGTCCCCTTAAGGAAATTATTCCCCTCTAGTATCCGAGGTTTGATTTGGAATATGTCCTCCCAGGATAGAATGATCTCAATCACCAGTGTATTGATACCCAAAACTCTAGTGTCAGCGAACCACTCAACAGCAGTAAAATACACGAAGAAATTTTGTGCAGAAGAAGAAGAAGAAATCAGAAAAATTCGTTAAGAATAATTCTGAAGAATCAATGTATTTATAGGCAAGAGAAACTGGTTCCGAAAGGTTGCAATCCTTTCAGAATCCACACGACCATTCATGAAAGTTTGCAACCTTTCAAACGGTCATGGCTGTTTCTGAAAGTTGCAACCTTTCAGAACAGTCACTGCGGGAAATTTAAATAAAACGGGTCGGGCGTGGATCCGAGTCGGGTCAATTAACTAATTAATTGAATCGGTTAATTAACTAATTAAAACGTTGGCCATTTAATTTAATTAATTAAATAATTAATTAACTAAAATAATTAAAACAAACTTTGTCCAAAAAATAATCTCTCGATCATTTTTCCAAATCCGAGCCGAGCGATGACGACGGCGCGAGGGGGTCCCTCTTTCCAACCCTTTTAACAATTAATAGGAGTGTTTCTATATTTAAACTCTCCTATTTTTCTTTCCACCACCGATGAGGGACAAATGTCTTTTCAATGTCTTTTCAATAAAGCATAAGAGGACTTTTCAAGTTCTCAACTTTTCAAGTTTCCAACTTTTTCCAAGTTCCTCTTTCATCTTCCCTCAATTTCCCATTAACTCTTGCTACATACCCAACACAAAACAATAACACATGTAAATCAATAGGCCCAGCTGATGTTTCCTTCCTTGCCACTTTCTGTTTCAAAATTTGTGATAGAACTAACAACAAATCCAGAAAACTGCTATTTCAGACGTATCTCTATGTCACAATCTGGGTCAATTGGGAGGGTAGTATGTCATATTTTTCTTGTTAATCTAAGCACCATGATAAAACGTAAACTAATAACAATGCACTGTACCATTCATCTTCTAGCTAGCGCGTATTTTGGGACAACGGAACATGTTTATAAGAGAGCAAGATAGAGTCAATGAGGAGCACACCAGATCAGAATGAAACGTCTTGTAATGGATGAAACAGAATTTAGACTATCTTACGAATGAACCGAAAACCTGGGTGCAAAAAAAGTAGGGGTGAATTCCCAAGCACAGATGCCGCACATTCATACCTTCCTGTCTGTACATCACACAAACAAGTGATGGCAAGTTGAAACAATCAAAGCAACGTCTGCAGTTTCTTGACTTCAGTTTGATCATGATCCATGCTCATGAGAGCTTGTTACATTCTTGGATAAAGTCGAAATAACTAAAAAAAAAGTGAGGAAAAAGAGTGTTTAATCATTCATGCACTAATGGTGCAGAATGTGCCGCCTATAAATAAAAGGATTTCAACTCAGGGAAGCAATTAGAAACAACTCAACTACCACCCTCTTTGGTAATTGAGTCTCTGATGCTTAGTATCAAAATCCCACGGGTTTACATGGAGGGTATTAAGCAGGTAATCCACTGCCCATCCTTCATAACTGGGAAGATGCATCACATCAAAATCCACAAATACTTCACCACTTGGTGCATCAAGCCACAGGCTAAAAGCATTTTTAATAAATAGTTGATTTCATAAAGGATATATACAAAACCAAGTTTTTGACTTTATCAAGTATACATACAAAAACCAAGCTAACGTGTACAAGAGCAGTTCACATTCGAACAAACTTCGATCATTTACTGATACAATTAGAATAGGTAATAATAACCTCGCTTATCAAATTTAAGATATCTTTTTCTGTTTCTTCTCCTGCCATTCTTTGATTTCAGCATCAATTGTTGCTTTCACTTTTGAATGAAACCCAGGGTATGGTTCATAGCCAAAAAGAGATTGGAGGGCCTGTGAGGAACCAATAAGCCATGAAAACATTAGATAATGCAACCACTGAAAGTACTTGTCTCCTAACATAGATGATAGACCTAGTATAATTACCTCAAGGAGAACGAAGAATGGTGCCATAAGGAAAGCTTGTGCAAGATTGTCCAGAAGGGCAGGTGCTCGCTTCTACAAAAGTGAATAACAATGTCATGCGACCACATTAATGGAAGCTTTGTAATCATGCATAAAATTATTACAAATGATCACCTCAAACACTCCATGACCTATAAATTGTCCAGTCCAGCAGAACAATTGAGCCGCTAGAACAACCTGGACATATGTTTGTCATAGTTAGCACCAACATCACATACTTGATTCAAGAAGAACTAGATAGATGCAAATGTATTCCTGACCAAACAGATCATGCATTATGCATCTTTGTCCAGTCCATATGAGACTGTCCAAGTAGTAATTAGTTATTGGTTCTTTTTCTTTAATTAACCATGGTGTCAGGGACAACTTGCACGCACCTCAACTAATTCCACGGGGTACGGGATTAATTGGGGAAAAGGCAGGTGGTGGATTTTGTAGAAAAATAAGCCCAGGTCCACAAAAAATAGCAGATTAAAGAACTTTACACATTTAATATTTCACATGAAAAATGACCTATACCAGAATCAATTAAATGGTAGGTAAAAGGGTTATCATAAATCTTAGGATGCTTTGCCGTCTTTAGAAACCCAACAGAAACTTCAAACTTGGGATAATCATCAAACTTCTTCAAGCTAAATTAAAACATTGGGAGCATATAGTGGTTTCGACAAAAGATTTAACAACCAAAGAATGAAATGAATAGAAAAAAACAGAGAATACAATGGTTTAGACCAAAGATTTAACAATCAAAGAAAGAAATAGATAAGTTTTTAACATCTTTAGGAATAGTACAGAAAAGGTAAAAAAAATTAATATCTTTCACAGGCAAAAACAGTGAGTAATGACTACCCATACGGATTTTATTTTTTTTAAATGAACTTGCTAACTCTGTAATTGAAATACCCCAATTGCCATCCCTAGGTACTTGCTAACTCCCACAAGCATAGGTACAGGGTAACTCTGTAATTGGTTATTGTTTCTTAGCCTCAAACAACAAATAGATGACCGCCAAGTTTTTGACCAAACCCAATGAACTGCTATAGATAAAGAAGCCAGGAGTTAGATCCTCGCCGCATATAGAGGACCCAGACATCTAAACCAAACTATTTATGGAGATTATTACCAAAATAGAAGTTGTCTATAGTTAAATTCAAGGTAAGAGAGAAGAAAACATCCAAACCCAGTGTACCAGCAAAAATATAAAGTTGAAAGGCTGATGGCATAGGTTGGTCATGTGTGATGTATTACATATTGAGTCATATAGAGTGGAATGCGGACAGTACACAACATGGTAGTTACATGATAATATACTCTTGCCAGAAAGTTGTGAAATTGATCAGCGAACAGCTAAATGACTAAATCTTTAAATGGACCATCAGTTCTTGTCCAAGATGTGCAAATTAGCTACAATACAAAAAAATACTTAAAGCTCCCCTCTTTAGCTTTATTTAGCCAGCTGAGCATATTTGTATAGAAACTAAATGACTGCTATAGGTCAGTACTAGAAATGCAAGTAAGAAGTACATGGAAGCGTCCCAACTTTTCTTCATCTCAAATAACATTTCCTGTAACAATTTTTCGGCAAAATTCCTATAACCTGTTCCCGGTTCCAGCTTGCATCAATTAGCCTTTCCAACTGTGTAATCAGGAGTTGTTCCTGATTGTATGTCAGTGCAGGGAAAGTGTTACATACAGAGAGAACCCCTAACTTACTTGAAAGGCGACATGTTTAATGACTTTAACCTTTGAGTGAAATGAACCCAATTAGGCAAAATCTTTCATATAGATGCCTCCAATCATTTCCGGAATGAAGTTCACTTGATTGATTGATTGAAGGGGCGCAAGAATATAGTAACACATCAAGCACAAGGGGGAATTATGATTCCAAGTATGATGGTCGGCAAAGAAAGGAAGAATGTAATAGACAGTTAATTTGGCTTGACACAAGATCAAAATATGGCTTGATGTGACAATAGGCTGAAAAGTTTGCTAGAAAAAGATGAAGTCCTGAGACTCCAATTGCTGGTAATAAGCAGAATGAACAACAAAGTGGTAAGAGTGCAATTGAAAACATTTCATTGATTCGCCATCTCATCTAACACAAACTCACAACTCCTCAATATGTGTAATGAAATCAGTTGTCATGTTTCACTTTTCAAGAGTCAAAACTACATCATGAACTTCGCTAACATTCTAAAATATAGTTTATTATCAAATTGACATGATAAAACTAGCAACTTTCTGTATAGTGTTTGAATATCTTTGAATTGTAAAACATTGAGTTGATCTAATCCAATTTAGATATGAAGTTAGTCAAACTAATAATTTTTCACTATTTCTAAATCGACTGTTCTCCAACAAAAATCTGCAATATCCCAAAACTACGGCAGCATGCCATTAATTCAATAATAACTGATGTAGACAACAAAAAGATTCAAACTTTAAAGGAAATACAAAAGTAACAGATAAAGGGGAAAAAACCCTTATACCTTCCAGGCGAGAGAGAACCCCAATTGACGAGCAACCATACCACTGGAAACCCAACAAATCAAACATAGCAAAGCAGCCAAAGAGCCAGCTTTCTTGTCCAAACACACGTAGAACAGTGCATACCCCAAAGTAAACAAAAACCCATAATTAAGGACCAAAGAACTGTGCTCACAAAGCTGAATCGGAGGTAAATTGAAAAGTGAGGGCGTAAAATCGAAAAGAATAAGAGCAGTGAATAAGATAGGCCACACAAACACCATATGAATCAATATATTCACTGGGTTGCTATGGTAAGCGCCATAGAATGCAAATTGTTTCTCTAAGTCAAATATTTCCATTCTCTCCCTTTTGGTAATCGATGAAATTAGGCTTCAAATATAGAAGAGAAAGTAAACGCAACTATTTTTTCAAAGTCCGTGTGCAGCTTTTTTTCTCGACCGTCTCCTAGTTTCAAACGACTATCGAAAAATTATGTTATATATATTAATTAAATATAAATTTTTATAGGTATATATATATATATATTGAATATTCTAAATTTAGTCCAGACAAAATGGAGTTTTTTTTTTAATTTTTGAAAAGGATATTAACAAGAAAAAAAGAGTAAGAAGTTTGTGTTTGGGCATTTTGTAGTGCATTTCAGCGTGGTCAATGAATGGACGTGACTATTGTGAAGGTTTAGTTATGAGTCACTATCAATGATTTGTAGTTAGGTTCTTCTTTAATTGTTTTTCAATTTAAAGTTGCAAACATTAAACTTCGATTTATGGAAACTTGTTGTACCAAAATTCACCTAATAAGAATGTTCGGTCATTGACTCTAAAGTTAGAATAATAAGAGTACTCACTATTAAGAGGTTGTCTGGCTTAAAAAGTGAAAATATTCTAGGATTATAATAAAATCAAGATTATAATTTGCATAACTTATACCATCTTCTAAATAAGATAGGTTAAAATAAAGGTTTTAACTAATAACTCAACTAAATATGAATAATTTTACTCTCAAAATTTAAAGTGGAAAATAAAAAGTTTCATTAGGAGTATATAATATATTTATTAGGTTGGATGTCCACATCAAATATCTCAATTTTCTTTAGTTGGTGAAAAGTTACTGGGTATAGTATATTTTTGTGGTAAAAAAACGTAAAGGCAGATCACTGATTTTTACCGGGGGGGGAGGGCGGGGGGGGGGGGGAGAGGAATAAGCTGTAAAAAACAAAAAGGCAATTGGCCCATGCAGGTCTCGAACCTGCGACCTTCGCGTTATTAGCACGACGCTCTAACCAACTGAGCTAATGGGCCAGTTTGACTAAACATTGAGGTATAAAATTATAATGGTAGTATGATTCAGAACAGGACAGAGAAGATGGGCTATCTGGACAGTGGACAGAGGCTTGCCAAGATATTGGGCATGGCTAAACAACGAAGAGGCCAGAAAATAAGAGCCCAATAAATAATAAAATTGTTTGGGATTCAAGTTGAGTAAAAAAGTATATGACAGAGCGGATAATCTTCATTCTCTGAATCTACACTTCTCGTCCCCATTTCTTCACTATCTTTAATTACTTGTTTTTTCCATTATAATTCAATAGTTTTGTAACTATAATCGTGTTCTACAGTTAATACAGTGAGGAGTTTTGATTTGTTACATAAATAAGCTACCAACAAAGTTTATGCACATCCTTCCCTTTGTGCATGTAATAGGCAAAAAGAAAGCTTAGTATGGTCGTTTGTAAACATGAATTCTTGCCTTTAATTTCTTATAGATTGATTATGTGGTAAATGCAGCCCATGATATAAAATAAACAAAATATCCTATGAATTTTAAAGCAAGAAGCATAAATTAGAAGTAGATAAATTGAATTAAAACACGGACACCGTTAATTGATCTGAATTAATGCTAGGTAAGATTCTTCTATTATCGTGCAAATTGCAGTAACATTTTCAAACCCTATACATATTAAATTATGTAGATATATATATAATAATCCCAAAGGGACCGAATCCCGAGATATGTTGAAGAATGAATTAGGAGTGGGGAAACCAGCAGTTCCAAAACCATGGGCGATTCGAAGACCTTATGATATTCTGCGAAGACAAGTAAATATTCAAAAACGCTTGTGCTATCCTAGCTCCCAGGCCATAGCCTTTCCACCATACTTAGTTGCCTTTATTTTAATAATCTAATGTTTGAATTAGTTTGCGTGTATTTGGAGTTAAAAAGGGCAAAAAAAAATTTGAGAAAAGTTTCCAAAAGAGCTACAAAAAATAAGGATCAAATCAAAAGGACAACATTTGTATAGAAGGTGGATGTGGTTAAGTCATCAGCAGAAAGACGTCGACATGTGCCCTGTAAAATGCATTTTAGGTTGTGCCTTGTAAGGCGCATGTCTACATAATAATTAAATTTTTATTATTATTAAATAAAATATTATGTAATAATTAAATTAATATAGAGAGCAAGTCGGGAAGATCACTTATATTTTTATTTATATATATAAGTGAAAATAGAAAGAAAAAAATAAACACGAAAAAACAACAATAAAACGATTGAATAAATAATGGGAGGGTTATTAATCAGTTTTTTTTTTTATTGTAAGACGCAGAAGGACATGCACCTTAGGGCTGGGCATAAATACCGAAAAGCCGAACCGAATTATTTCAGTGTTTCGATTTCGGTATTTTGATTTTTGATTCGGTTTTTGGTATGTAATTTTTGTGTTATTCGGTATTTTGATTTACCGAAATATATTATATTATAATATATATATTAATTATTAATATTAAATTATAAATATTATAATTTAAAATTAAAAGTAGAAGTAGGTCAAAAGTTTGTCTTTTCAAACTTTTCCTACTTTTCAACTTTACAAACCCACTTCCCAAAAGGCAAAATTTACCGTTCCCACTTCCCACGTCTAGTTGTCTACAGACTACAGCAGCAGCGACCGTTTTGGCAACCATCAACACGTAGTAGCCGCCAATCGACCAGCAGGCAGCCGCAGCACAGCAACGACCGGTAAATTTCAATGTTAACGGCAGTTTATTATTTTGAATCATACAATAATTTAAAAAACAGAATAAAATAAGCAAAAAGAAATAAATATAAATAACATAAACAAAAAAATTACAAAATTTTTAAAAGCCCACTAAGCAGACCCATAACAAAAAACCGAACTAACAAAAATCGAACCGAAATAATAAAAATTAAACCGAATTATTTCGGTTCGGTGTTCGGTACACGTTGTATAAGAACCGAAAAAATCGGAAAAAAAAATCCAAAACCGAACCGAAATATCGAGTGCCCAGCCCTAAATTGCGCCTTCCTGCATGCAACTTAACGACAATCACCTTTCATCCAAATATTGCCCTTTTGATTTGATCCTTATTTTTTGTTGCCCTTTTAAAAATTTTGCTCTTTTTTTTGCATTTTGGCTCCGGAATCTATTTTTCACCAATTAAAAAATATATGGTATCCCATTCATTAAAATTTAGAGGAATAATGAATAAAAAATTATAAAATATTTTTGTGAACTAAAAAATACTCATACAATTAACCACTACATTGTGCCTCGAGTGCTCCACCATATATACTTGTTCTTTATAGAAAATAGCTTGTTTATCAGTAGGGAACCAAAGGCACCCGTGCTACACATAAGGATATAAAATATTCAAGACACATAAGCTCAAAGCACACATTAGCATTACTTAATTTACTGGGAACCCAGAAATGAATGTCTTGAATATTTTATGGGCATCTTCATACATGCATTTTATTAGTGATAGCGTGGCCTATCCATTTTTCATGAGTTATATAATTGAAAAAATAATTGCAGACCTTGATAAATTATTTTTTAAAATGAAATTTGATCATAGTATTTTAAAATTTTACTTTTAAAAATTAAAATTTAAGATAATAGTTAATTTTCAATTATATGAGCTAAAAATGGCTATTTTTAAAATTTTACATATGGGAGTGGAAAATTCATAAGCACAAAACACAAGAACTCTATCTAGTTTTTTTTTTTCTTTTTTATATACAACAACAACTTTTAAAGGCTGTAAAATGAAATGAATTAATTTCCTCATCGTAAAATTATAGCCACACGCTAGTTCGTGCTATTTTAATGCACACCACATATATATCTACTTGAATCGGACAAAAATAAAATAATAATTGTAAATTTTAATGAGAGATATAACAATTTTATTTTTGAATATAATGGTGTGTTTTCTAATGTCCATATTATTTTTCACGATCTCAATAAACTATTGTACTCCTTGTAACGTCGTTTGATGTATTAATAATAATAATATTACAAAACTAATCATATTCTAACCTTTCGTAAAAGATTTAAGATAAAACGTTACTTCACTATGTAAAGCCTCATAAATTCAAAAAGGGAGTTACATATACATATATTAATTTGGAATAGTAAAAGGAACATTGACTCACAAACTTTTTTTCTTCTCAAAATATAACGGTAATATCTCATAAATGAGATTATTGTCTACAGAACATATATAAAAGTGTGTAAAATAGTGAAAAGAGTAAAACATAAGCATTTTAGGTATGGAGAAGGCAACCATGAAGTTGATTTATACCATGACACTTTTTATTATTGCAATAGGTTTGTAATTCTCTTGTATCATCATCTCTTTAATTTTCTCATAAATCACAACTAAAATGACTAATATATTTATTTATATACAGATTTTCTTTATTTTAAAGTGGAAGCTTATCCAAATGAATGTTTAAAAGATGAAGATTGTGAACATGTACGGCGTGATGGTTGCACACCTTTTTGTGATTGGGGAGAAGTTTGTGATTGTTATGGACCGCCACATACTGAAAAAGAGTATCATATTACAAATGAAGAAAATGATCCAAATTTATCTCATGCTTAATTTTCATTATTATATATAGAAAATTAATCATATTCAACTTTGTATCATGTCATATAGTCATGTTATAATGAAGTGATAAATGAGTGTGTGTGTGTATGTATAATTGATTCTTAATATTCAACTTTGTTACTCTTGATGGTAGAAAGAGTGATTCAATTAACTCATTTTAAAAGTAAAGCGATCAAAATAAAAGAAGTAGAGGATCAAGAATCATTTAGTAATAGTGGTTGAGGAGGTTGGTATTCTATATGGGAGGTCAGATTTTCTCTGTCAACGCAGTTTCAGTTAAGCTCATCGCATTGAATTTGCCTAGTTTGATTTATATCTCTCGTAATTTGTAAGTTATTGCATAAAAATTAATTTACCTAGTATACACATAAAATAGAGCGACAATAAATTTTCAAATTAAAAAAAAAAAAAGGTTCTAATACAATTTACAATAAGCATGTATGTGTATTTAAGTCTAGGTATAATTTTTAAAAATTGAA